AGAAGTGTGTCAGCACAAAGAGAAAACAATAGCTCGATAAAGCTATCGGCTTAATGAGCTGATATTGAAATTGCAGCTGATGTTGAAATAGACTTTATTTCGTGTCTCTAGGAAGGTTGTGGGACATTTGCTGCCCCTTGGCAATCCAACTTGGCATTGGGATATTGGCAAATTGGCATTGGCAATCGAATTTAACATTGGGATATTGGCAATCCAACTTTAAGGTCAAATTTCTTCGTGTTTCGTTGTTCAATAGAAATAGTTTTTCTACCAATCGACAGAGAAGGATTTGACGCATCTAATCATACCAAAGAATTTGGAAATCTGATAGCCCAACACCAAGAGATTTGAGCTTAAAGTTAAGCCAATGGGAAAAGGTACGGAAGAGGGACGATAACTCTTTAGGAAAGTTACCGTAACCCGATAGTCAACTATCTTTTAAAATGCAAGCCACAGCTTCCTAACTATCATCTCCTTCAGTAATCTACTTCAAGAAATCAATTTTTATCAAAAGTGTTAGCCTAGCTTTTGTTTTCACATGGATATCGAGATTTCCGAGCCTATCAAACCAGTCCTATCCCTGGATCCCCCTCTCTATCCATAAATTCCATCCAAAAACGCTCATCCAGCTCTCGGGGAGATGAATGAAAGCTGAATGATTGCATATAAGTGAAAGAGAACTAAAAAACAATCCAATATGAGTCATCAATGTGAAAAAAATGTGGATTTTTAAGTTTTTAAGTATCTCTTAAATAGTTATAAATACTTTACCTACAGTAATCATTCAAACTGACTTATCGTTCAAACTGACTTTGTGCAAACACGCGACACAATCACTCTGACACAATCACTTTGACACAATCACTCTGACACAATCACTCTGACACAATCACCCTGACACAATCACTCTGACACAATCACTCTGACACAATCACCCTGACACAATCACTCTGACACAATCACTCTGACACAATCACTCTGACACAATCACTCTGACACAATCACTCTGACACAATCACTCCGTGCTGGATATGAGTCAAAGAGAACAAAAAAGCTATTCAAGATGGATTGGAGAGCATAAAGCAAATCACTTATGATTCCTTTTAAGGCCAAAACTTGTTTAAACTTTTCTTAAAAGGTCAAGATATTCAGCCAATAACTTGTTTAAACACAGTTTTTCCCATGCACTAATCGTTTTGTTTGTGATTGTTTTCAAAACGATAGAAAAATCGAGAAAATCGAGAAAATCCTTCACTCGTCACTCCATCAAATTCAACGAAAAGTTCAAGGACATTCGTTTGGATTTTCTGTAAACATCTACCGCAAAAAGAGGAGTTTCCAGTGAACTATAAGTGATTTATTTCGGGTGAGGGGGAAATCGTGCAGCACTATTTTCTTCTAGGTTCTATTAGGTACATGCATAAGAAATACGGATTTCAACATTTTCCTAAAATTTCCAACGATAGAAACCTGATATCGATGAATGTTATGTTTGAAAGTTGTTACTATTTGAAAGTTGCAAATCTCCTCTACAAAATCAGCTAAAACGTGTTTCAATTGATCGAAGCATTGAAGAAATTTCGAAGCCGAAATGCGAGTGACCAAAAAATGAATCGAGTCACTTTAGGGACAAGTTTAGTGTCATCGAAAGGAAAGTTTTAAGAATAGAAAACTAAGCTTTAAGAATAGAAAACTAAGCTTTAAGAATAGAAAACTAAGCTTTAAGAATTGAAAACTAAGCTTTAAGAATTGAAAACTAAGCTTTAAGAATTGAAAACTAAGCTTTAAGAATTGAAAACTAAGCTTTAAGAATTGAAAACTAAGCTTTAAGAATTGAAAACTAAGCTTTAAGAATTGAAAACTAAGCTTCGAGAATCAAAAAGAAACTTCAAACTTATTGTGGTTATCTAGAAGCCGTCCAACGTTGATTGAGAATTACGCGTCGTCGCGTCGGCACTAAAGCTCTCATTTCTTAGCTTACTGTTTGAAAGTCCCCCCTATAAAATATGACTTCAAAAGGGTTTTCAAAGTAATTTAGACATTCATCTAGATGATTGCAAAAACGAGAACATACACGTGAACATCCACACACTACGTAATGGGGTTACGGGAAAAGGATCAGCTTTCCAGGCTTTTGTCCGATCCCCTGTACTCGCCGTTTTCACGCTTGTTGAACAAATAGGACAAATAGAAAATCGGGTAATGCTTGAATGGATTGAGAATCGCTTCCCTTGCCAATTTGGAAAGAACTCCCGAAATGCTATTCACTTATAGAATTAGATTCGATTTTCAAAAATCCATTAAATGAAGAAAAAGGAGAAATGAAAAGAAATGAAAAGAAACAGATTACACCAAAGTTGATAAGCTAGGAAGCTAGGAAAGGTTTTTGAAATGAAATGGAAATGAAATGAAATGAAATGGAAATGGAAATCAAATCAAATCAAATGGAAATGAAAATGAAATGAAATGGAGAGCGGAAATGAAATGAAATGAACTTGGATAACGGGAATACCAATCTGAGCTATCATTTTGAAGTTCTGGCTATCAGTTTAAAGTTTAGAAACTGTTTTTTTGCCTTTAAATTCCCTATTTAGGTAGATTTTGTTTGTGTTTACACAGTTGAAAAGCAATTTTTGCTTAAATTTCAAATTTCCCAGTGAAAGATAGCTTTAGATTCATTGCTTTAGAGAGATTTTATGCGAAATTCGAATAGATTTAAATATTGGGTTGGGGAGAATGAGTCGGCGCCGAACTTTAAAGGGACTTTTTGCACACATAAAGCCTTCTTTAAACATACGTTTGGTTTCATCAAAAGGATCCACTATTTCTCTACAAAATCACTTTTGAGAGATTCCACAAAGCTTTTCTTTCGTGGAGTTTATGAACTTCCAAACGCAGCTGGTTAAAATGGCAAAGAGTCCGACTCATCCATTTGAACAGTTTCTTTCACATAAACCTTCTTTGGTGTTTATATAAAAAAGATAGAGCACATTCAATTACTTAAGTTGCCAAATTTGCAGGAAGATCCCACCAATGGTTTTTTCTAGATGACAATTTGTAGTTTTTGTGGAAAGATGACCTTTTCTTGAGCTGAGACGATGTTTGAGTTTTCTTTTAAATGTCATTTTGTAGAGAATTAGTTAACCATTCTACTCATATCAAACGCATATTATTTGACGAAGTCGAATTGAAGTTTTAGACATTTTTTTGATTTTCGGCGCCGACTCATTCTCCCCAACCCAATAGATGTTTGTGTTTACACAGTTGAAAAGCAATTTTTGCTTAAATTTCAAATTTCCCAGTGAAAGATAGCTTTAGATTCATTGCATCAGAGAGATTTTATGCGAAATTCGAATAGCAGCTTTGAAAAACGAGTTGAAAGACACTTTTCTTTTGATCAACACCGACTTTCACGTGTTTGTAGACTCGACGGCGTTTCCGAGTTCACACTTTGCCGAGAACGTTGGAATGAGCGCCTCTGGAAATGATTGTTTTATTGAAAAAAAAAGTTTTATCGAAGTTTTTAGGTCAATACTTAATCTTAATCTGACCAGTAAAATCTTCTTGACAACTTTGGTTATGTAATACTTTGTGAAACTTTGATTTGGTTATTTTTTGGCTTAAATTTAAAAATAAACTAAACAGGGTGCTCAAGAATTACCGCAACACACAAAAGGCTCGGCTTTTAAAAACTTTCTAAAGATTTTTAGGCGTTAAAAGATTGAAAACAAAAGATATTAAGTCTATTTCTTTTTCTAGATAGAACAAATTTTCTTTTATTAAAGTAGTCAAGTGTTTTTAATCATTTTTCAATCTAAAGGGTGAACAAGAATTACCGGAACACACAAAAGGCCTTCCTTTTAACCAAATTTCCAAACCATCTCGAAAAGTTAACTTAAATAACCTTATTCAACATTTAACAGTAACAAATTAACAATTAAATTCGCCTCCATCTGCATTCAGACAAGCCTATAAACGTTTGGGAAACGCGTTGACCGTGGCGAGTACCGTGGCGTAGGCATCATCGATATCCCGTGCTTTGATCAGCGCTTTCTTCAAACTTTCGATATTTTTATGTGGTTTTGTACATTGCCCTGGCTTCAAGAATATTCCAGACTGAGTAATCCAATGGGTTAAGATGAGGGTGAGCTGGGTGGCCACTCAGAAAACGAGAGCAAGTCCGGGAAGTCCGGGAATCGCTTGCCCTTCGCAGCAGCTGATAGTAATTAAGCTTTTTTTCTTCTTGTACGGCTTCATTTTCAGCTTTTTCTTGATGATTGTGTTGGCGGAGCCTCTCTTCAGACCCATTTTTTGTGTCATTCTGTGTCAGCCGATTGGTTAGGGTTTAATCTTAGACGATCGCGCACTTTCTTGACATTAGCCGGAGTAGCCGCTGTTCGTTTTGCACCTCTTCGGAATCGATCGGCGATCAGAAACTGTGCCCAGAATTTCATAACGTTGAATGGTTCGAGAAACGAGACTTCTGGGGGACATTCAGGCGCTTTGAGATCTCGCTCGCCTGAACACGCTGCCGCTTGAGCTCAAGGATCGATTGTCGATCCTTGTGGAGACGCTTTCACCATTCCTGAAAACAACCGGCATTCAGACAAGCCTGCAGACGTTTGGGAAACGCGTTGATCGTGGCGAGTACCGTGGCGTAGGCATCATCGAGGGTATCCCATGCTTTGATGAGCGCCTTCTTCAAATTTTCGATTCTAATGTTTTGAAAGTTAGTAATCATACCATAAAATAAGAAAAATGCACAAAAATCATAAAAATAGGTAAGCAAAACGTGAAATTGGGCTCATAACACGTTGCAACGCGTTGTCGTTGTCGCGGTAATTCTTGGTCACCCTGTATTATCGTCATTCGATAGCCCATCTTCTCCTCTCAAAAACTAGTATAAAGTTATCGAGAAGTTTTTACAAAATAACGAATAAAATGCTTTAAAACGACACTAAAAGTGGATTGAAATTGGAATGGAATGGATGGAATGTTCAGAGCTCAACCTCATCCTCTTCTCGATTCGACCACGCGTGAAAATCGATGAACAACACGTAAAGCCAAGCGCCGACAAATCCACCAATCAACGGCCCAAGGATTGGCACCCACCAGTAATAATCGTCTTTTCTAAAAGTTAAGCTTTATTCCATAACTGTCTAGTACTTGCTTTGGGTTTTGGATTAATGACAGCTCTCAAGCTTAAACTCAAACTCACGTCCAAACTCCTTTCCCATAAATGATGAACATGAACAAACGAGCGCCGAGATCTCTTGCTGCGTGAATTGGATAAGCGTCGTTTTGAGCGAACGCAAGTCCGATTGTGAGCACCTGAAGGTTTAGATTTTCTATTGATTTCTTTGATAGAATAATCCAGTACAGATTTGTTTATGTGGTTCGATAGGGATGGCCAGATGGGCCCCGAGTTGAGTCAGAGGTTCTTGATCACTCCTCGATCACTTCTTGATCTCTTGATCACGATTGTTAGTCGAGTCGAGTCACTATTTAAATATTTTACTTCTCAACTCAAGAAGCTACGAGGAAAATTCTAAAGGATTTGCAAATTGTAATGCAAAATGCAAATTGATTCTGAGTGCACCAAGTCGTTCAAGCACCGGATGATCTGGAATGCTTTATGGATTTCAGCTCAATGAAAATTGGATGCTGAATGGGAGATGACTTGCAATGGAAATCCGGCAACATCAATGGAACTCTATCTTCAATGGATTGAGAATCACTTCCGTTGCCAATTTGGAAAGAACGCCCAAAATGCTTTCGTTCAAGAATTGTGTGATTAATCTGATGGCTGGATGGTTTCATTCATTCATTCATTGAAAGAAGGATTTCTAAAGATGCAAGATTTCGCAAGATGCTTGACTTGAACAATTAATAAATGGAGATTTAGAAATATTGAATTGGATGGGGAGAATGATTCGGATAACGATTCTTGATCTTGTTCTTGATTTCTTCACTAGACTTTCTTCGATTCTGTTCCTGATTTCTTCAATAGATTTCTTCGATTCTCTTCTTGATTTCTTCGATTCTATTCTTGATTTTTTGACTAGATTTTTTCGATTCTGTTCTTGATTTCTTGGCTAGACTTTCTTTGAGTCCGTTGATGATTTCTTGACTAGGCTTTCCTCGATTCTGTTCTTGATTTCTTGGCTAGACTTTCTTTGAGTCTGTTGATGATTTCTTGACTAGGCTTTCATCGATTCTGTTCTTGATTTCTTGACTAGATTTCTTCGATTCTGTCCCTGATTTCTTCACTAGACTTTCTTCAATTCTCTTCTTGATTTCTTCAATAGATCTCTTCAATTCTCTTCTTGATTTCTTCAATAGATCTCTTCAATTCTCTTCTTGATTTCTTCAATAGATCTCTTCAATTCTCTTCTTGATTTCTTCACTAGACTTTCTTCGATTCTGTTCCTGATTTCTTGAATTCTATTCTACATTTAAGGCTTAGGAGTTTTGCTTGTGTATTTACCACCTTATTTGTGTGAATGTATATTTTCTAAATACCGTTAGTCCTCCAAAGAGTGGATGCAAAAATTTCGGCACTCCATTCTTTGGATCGAGCATCGCCGCCATCGTCATACAGAGAATAGCTGTGCCAACGATCTGAAATAGGATTTTGTGTACTTTGTGCTCAATAAACCTTTCTGTACTTATGTTTAGGGATTTCAAGCAATTTCAAGCGATTACAGAGCCTGTAATCTGTCCAGAGCTGAAGCTCCAGTCCATAGCTGGAGCTCCAGTCCAGAGGAGAGGATCCAAAATGGCCAGCAAAGCAAAAGTTGGATCTGGTTGGTTGGGTGTGAATGAGGATTGAGCAAAGGCAGGCTTGGCTTTGAAAGAAAGCAAACATGAAAGCCACCTGATCAAATAAAGCGCTCAGTTTTGTCGAATACGGTGCGATACAAGTGACGAAGAAGCACAGCGTTCCATTCGGGCCATCGATTTGTCGTCGACCTCCATCATAGAAATTGAGTGTTTCCAAATAGTCAAGATAAGCCGTAGCCGTCCCAACAAAGGCACCGAATATCTAAATTTTTTCAGTAAATCAGGATTCTTGACTTAAAGGGATATATAGCTGAAAGAAGATGGTAAGGACAGGAAATTTTGCAGGCAATTTTACAGGTAATTTGGCGCCTAGGGTAAGCCAAGTCAAAACTGAAGGATGGAAAAGTCGTCTTCTTTTAGGACGATGTTTAGTGGTGTTACCTGTATTGGAATGTAGGCTAACACTTGTTGTATCGAGGCTCGACCGAGGGACCAAAGCACCAATGTTACTGAGGGATTCGTTTGACCGCCTGGAATTGATCGTTCTAATTGATCTACCTATAGATCTACCTCTAGGTCTACCTCTAGGTCTACCTCTAGGTCTACCTTTAGATCTACCTTTAGATCTACCTTTAGATCTACCTTTAGATCTACCTTTGGGTCTACCTTTGGGTCTACCTATAGGTCTACCTATAGATCTATCTATAGATCTACCAATAGATCTACCTATAGATCTACCTACAGATCTACCAATAGATCTACCTACAGATCTACCAATAGATCTACCAATAGATCTACCTACAGATCTACCAATAGATCTACCTACAGATCTACCTACAGATCTACCTAATTGATCTACCTAATTGATCTACCTATAGATCTACCAATAGATCTACCAATAGATCTACCTACAGATCTACCTATAGATCTACCTAATTGATCTACCTAATTGATCTACCTATAGATCTATCTAATTGTTCTATCTAATGTCCTCTAATAGAACACCGTACAGTCGTGTAGTTTAACTTCTTTCTAGAAATTCAGTTCTTTCTCAGCTTCTAGATCTTTCACAACTAAACTTTTGATATCAAAAATACTAGATTCCAAGAGCTATCGTTTACGTAAACTCTAGCTTAAAGCAGTGAGAATTGGACGTTTAAAGTTCGACTACGCGACTGTACGCTTAGCATTATGGCGTTCTATTAGAGGAGTTTCCACCCTTTCCTCTCGATTATCGTAATTCTTTCTCTATTTTATCTATTTTATCTATTTTATCTATTTTATCCAATCAAATTGTATCATTTTATCGATTGTATCATTGTGAACTCTTACAGAAATTAAGCCAGTGGATAGATTGGATAATAGAGCCAAAAAATAGAGCCATAAAAAAGTGAATAGATTGGAATGATGAAAGCTTAAAAGATTACGGTAATTGGACTAAAATTTGACTAAAATTGGACATTTTAGAGAAACACATTTATTCTTCATCCACCCGATAAACCGATGCCGACCATTGTCGAGAACATGACCGCCATTCCCCAGCACAAATTCAGCGTCAGGAAATTCCCCTCCACTCCCTTGACGGCTTTGATTTGCACCGATGTGCCGACACCGATTAGCTGAATATCTTTGGCTTGTTTTTAAAGCTAAAGTTTGATACAAAGTCAATTTATCAATTCTAGAGCATTATGCAATAAGATCTAGCAAATTAGCTAAAAATTTCATTTAATTTATTTGTGAGATCAAAGATCAACTAAGAAAGGGTTAAAAACTCTCAACTAACAAGGAAAGGTCAACTGGCTGATCTCCACCATTCACAGAATTTCATGCTGATTCCAAATATATATTCCGTTTTTGCTTAAGGACAATCTATCAGAAGTTATAAGCGTTTAAAGTTTTTTTGAGGCTTTGAAATGTGATGGATCTTAGCAGCCTTTCTTTAGCGATTCTCATCTCCGAATTGCTTCTCTCAATTCGATAATTTCTCTCCGCTTTCTCACCGATTTTCTGTTTCGAAGCTGTGCTTTTCTCAGCATTCATCGATTGACTTCGATGCAAAATCTTTTCGTTCAATCGAATTTCGAAGTTCGAAGAATCGTTTCGAATCGAATCGAATTGATCTGTTCAATCGAAGGAGCTTTTGTTGATAGAAATCTCTGTTCTCTGATCAATGAGCTCTCCTCATGAGCTCTTGAAAATCCCAGACGAAGCTTTGTGGCCAGAGTCCAGTGCAGCTTTGGCCGAGTGGTACAGCATTCGTTTTCAGAGTTCGAGATTAGATAGATCTCACAAATTTGATCCTCACTTTGAACTATTCTTTTGCTTTTTTCAAGAATTTTTTGTGTTCAAAAACTAGGATTCTTTGTGCGCCGAAAAAACGAGAAAAATTCAAAGTGGGAATCGAATAGGTGACATTTCAGGCTTTCAAATGGTACCAAATAGAGTTTTCCATGCAAAGCAGGCGACCCGACACCCGAGTTGGGTGGGCCTCTTTTGCTGAGTTGGTTCTGATTTTCTTGGACTCGATTATCCAATCAAGCTCTATTTGGTATCATTTCTCGCTCTGAAAACGAACGCTGTACCAGTCGGCCAAAGTGCACTGGACTGGGGCCGCATGGAGGCGGCTAAGACTGAAATGATCACACTTTTATAGTGCCTGTAGTACTAGACGTTAACCATGGGAACCTGTAGTACTAGACCCTGGAGTACTAGAAAGTGGGGATCGAATTTGCGAAGTCTCCCTCTGAAAACGAACGCTGTACCAGTCGGCCAAAGCTACTGGACTGAGACCGCAAGGAGGAGGCTAAGACTGAAATGAACTGAATGATCACACTTTTATAGTGCTAATAAAACTTTAGACGCTTATAACTTCTGATAGATTATCATTTAGCAAAAAAGGAATATATAGTCGGAATCAGCATGAAATTCTGCGAATTGTAGAGGTCGTATAACTCAACCAGTTCACTTTCCCTTGTAAGAAAGTCAAGAGTTAAAATTGAAATCATTATTTAAAGATTATAAGACTTATATGAAGCTTATGAGACTAAAAACTAGCACTAGAAGAACTTTAAAGAACAGAACAAGAGTGTCGCGCTTGAAAATCGTGTGTCTAGTCATTTTAAGCAATGAAGTACACTAGAAATAGGTAAAGATTTAGCTATAGCATAGCCCTAGTGTGCCAGAGAGGATGCTTTTTCATTCGAGTATCAAATCCATCAACTCTGGACTCACTAATCGTCACTCTATGCACTTACCAAAAAGAGAAATGAGCAAACGAATTCGCATAGACATTCTCTCGCCAAGCGATTTCTCAATCGCAGAAAATCGGGGAAATATTTTGAGGTTTTGAAGGCAAAATGATCATCGTTTTCCTTGAGTTTTGATGATTTTGAAGAATCAATTCTTCTCAATCGTTCCTCCATATTCAATGATCAAATATGAGGCTGAGTTGAGGCTCAACCCATTCGTTTTCTTTTCCAAACACTCTAAAGTACATTTAAGTACAAATTGAACGTTAGAATCTTGATTTAAGGACAAAATGAAAGCTAAAATCTTGATTTAAGTACAAGTAAACGTTAGAATCTTGATCTACGAACAAAATGAAAGCTAAAATCTTGATTTAAGTACAAACGGAACGTTAGAATCTTGGTTTAAGTACAAACTAAACGTTAGAATCTTGATTTAAGAACAAAGTGAAAGCTAAAATCTTGCTTTAAGTACAAATTAAACATTAAAACCTTGAGTTAAACACAAAATGAAAGCTAAAATCTTGCTTTAAGTACAAGTTAAACGTTAGAATCTTGATCTACGAACAAAATGAAAGCTAAAATCTGGATTTAAATACAAGTTGAACATTAAAATCTTGATCTACAAACAAAATGAAAGCTAAAATCTTGCTCTAAGTACAAATTAAACATTAAAATCTCGATCTAGACACAAAATTGTTGATTTTCTGGTAATTGCTGAATAAATTCTTATTATTAGTAAAGATTTCTATGAAAATTTGTGAACAATTTGTATACTCAACAAGTAAGATAGATTTCTATGTCTATAGAGCAAATTATCCTGCGCAAATGCCAGATTTAGGATCGGATTACTCTTCTCGAATGAGAAGAATACATTATCAGGAAAAATAACTCAAAAAAGCAAAGGCAAAGCTATGAACAAGTAAATCTGTGTAATATTTTAATAATTAGCTTCTGGAAAGATCTAAAACCTGAATCATTTGATCAGTTGATCAGCTGAAAATTCGAAAAATATTGAAACACTTTCTTTTTAGAGGAAAAAAATGTTTTTTTTTCTTTCTGGCCATCTTTCTTTCTCTCTTTCTTTCTTTCTCTCTTTCTTTCTTTCTCTCTTTCTCTCTCTCTTTCTTTCTCTCTCTCTCTCTCTCTCTCTCTCTCTCTCTCTCTCTCTCTTTCTCTCTCTTTCTTTCTTTCTCCATTCTTTCCGTTCACTCATTGTTTGAAAGACGTTATTTATAATTCGTTTTATTTTTTAAAACATTGATTCATCCAATTTTAAGAATGATTTGTCTATTCTTATTCTTAAGGATCTAAATTACTCTTCCAATTTCTCGGCAATTTCCAGTGTACAAGAAAGTACAATAAGTTCGCGTGAAAAAGTTTGTCGAAGCAAGACAGAATGAAATGAAATGTCAAGAGGATCTCCATAAAATTCTGCTCTTGTTAACAAATCTACTTCCCACTTTCATATAGTCGGCTTTGAAGGCTCATAACTTTGTTTAGAGACAATAATATTGTTAAATTTTTATCTAGTTTTAAAAAAAAACACCAAGCTTTTAAATGAGACAAAATAGAAGTTGATTGGATTGCAGAATCCGTAGAAAATCATTCTCAAAGTAAAAGCAAAATCTGTGTAAATGCGAGATGTTCTTTGTGCGCGAGCACAATCGTTCTCCATCTGGTAAACCGGCTTGGATAGGGTGGTTCCATTTTGGAAACCGTCAACAATTTCTAAACTGATTAAAACTGAGCTTCTTTCTTCTCACAGACTCCATTCTTTCTCCATTCTTTCTTCTTTCTCCATTCTTTCTTTCTCCTTTCTTTCTCCTTTCTTTCTCCATTCTTTCTCCATTCTTTCTCCTTTCTTCTCCAGTCACGACGAGCTGATGTCATCATTGTCATCGATGCCAACATCGTCGAAAAGGTTTTTAGAGTTTAATCTAGATATTATTATCTGAAAGGCTATAGTAGGTTGCATTTGGAAGCTACAGTACCCAGTAGCTATTGTAATTGCTTTATAGAACCGGGACATTTACGTTGAAAGGCTACTGTGGCTTGAGATTACAGTATTCAATAAATTCTGTAGTTTATAGCTCTTGTTCCCCTTTCCCACTAAATCTCTTCTAGTTTTGTGGGAAATTTCAAAAAAAGGAGCAGCTACGAAAGAATCTACGCAGAAAAAGGAGCACGGCTTTGTAAATTTCAGTCTCATTTGTTTGAATTTTCGGCTCTTGCTTAGTTTTCGGGCATTTTGAATGAGTCCTCCTTTCAAAGCCTATAACTTTGTCCAGAGATAATATTATTCTTAACTTTTTATGTCATTGTAAAGAGGAGATTTCAGGCTTTCGAATGATACCAAATAGAGCTTGATTTGACTAAAAGACCATAAAGAAAATTGATTTGAAAATTTTAGCATTTTTACCAAGCATTTTCAATGGATAGCCGCGCTTTAAGGGCTCATAACTTTGCCTAAACATAATATTATTCTTAACTTTTTATGTCATTGTAAAGAGGATATTTCAGGCTTTCAAATGGTACCAAATAGAGCTTGATTGGCTTTTTCATTTCCATGCAAAGCAGGCGACACGACACCCAAGTTGGGTGGGGCCTCTTTTGCTGAGCTGGCCCTGATTTCCTTGGACTCGATTATTCAATCAAGCTCTATTTGGTATCATTTAAAAGCCTGAAATGTTATCTATACAAAGTTTTGAATGATCTATGTCTCTCTAATCACCAAAACTCAAAACCGATGCATGTTTGACGTTTCAAGTAACAAAATAAAAAGAAATAACAAAAATTTAAATAAATCTTTATGGAAAAGTGATCGAAAGGTCAAAACGCATCTTTTCTAGTGCACAGAAAAGTCCTTCCATTCAACGATTTTCTAACTTCTCACATTGATAATACTTTGTCGTCGAATGAAACTGAGACTGATCGATGAGGAGCTTTTTTCTGAAATTAGTAGAGATGCTTTATCTTTATCACAACCAAATACTTTATCTTTTCATTATAGTAATAATAGAGTGAAAGCATTGGCAAGGAGAAGTAAGGGATTGAATTTCTGGATTCCGGAGAGGTGATTGAACCATGGCCTTTTGCTTCCCTTGCTTGTTCGTCTATTGCTCTAACCATTGAGATATTCGGTGCTTTGCCTTGCGAATGGAAAGAAGGAAAGACAAAGGAAGAAGAGAGAAAGAAAGGAAGAGAGAAAGAAAGGAAGAGAGAAAGAAAGGAGGAAAGAAAGAAGGAAAGATTTTCTCTTTTTCCTCACTTTTCACGAAAAAAGTCTCCTGAATGAGTGAAGAAAGATGTCTCTTGTAGACAGAGCAATTCAAATAGGCTATCGCTGAAGCAGTTCCCTGGAAACAAGAGAGCAAGATCAACCAGAAGTTCAGAACTAAAAAGAAATTCTGTACACTAAAAGCGTTGTGTTTACAAGAATCACAAAGTACAGCCAAAAAGTAAGATTTACCAGCTAAATGCTCATTCCCGGACGCTAAAATACCCATAAATCCAAGCATTGGCACAGTTTCTAAGGAGAAAAAGATGGCTATCTAAAAAGATCATATCAAAATACAGTACACAGTACACAGTACACCGTACACAGTACACCGTACACAGTACACAGTACACCGTACACAGTACACCGTACACAGTACACAGTCCACCGTACACAGTACACAGTACACAGTACACAGTACACCGTACTTTACAGTACGTTAAAGCTAAATAACTTTACAAGAAGTTATTTAGCTTTAACGCTAGACTCAAGCCTTGTACTTTGTGCTTAAAAACGCGCGCTTTCTAGCGCACTTCTCTTTTCAATCTGCTAGAAAGCGCGCACCAATGGGAGTACAAAGTACACAGGTGTTCTAATGATAATCTAAAGACTACTGTAACTTGTAAAACTTTTGAAATCTAATCTAACGAAATAAATCGAATCAAACCTGTAAATAAACTTGTTTCAGCCATTCCTTTTGCATTTTTAACGTCTTTTGACTCATGAATTTCTCAAGAGTCTTCAGGATTGTTAAAGTTGAGAAAATCAGAGCTAAAACTAGATAAAGTTGAGAAAATCAGAGCTAAAACTAGATAAAGTTGAGAAAATTAGAGCTAAAACTCAATAAAAACTACTACCAATATACAAAACTTACAGAAAAACACGAAAATATAGACAAATATTAAAGACGTAAAGAAAAAAAGACTCCGATAGTTGAGGGAATTGTCGATTGCGGAACTGCTTGGCTGGTGAAAGAATGGAGACAAATAGGGATACTTCTGAAAAAAAAACCCCTTCTCGAAAACGTGGAAATTTCCTATCGATTAATGTAACCTTGAATAGCGCGAGGCAATTGTGCGCTCTTTCCCTGTTGCTAGGAGGAAAAAGCGGCGTCTGGCACACTGCCCCCGGATAGGCACCGCCGGGAAGCCCCCTCCAGCCGGTTTAATTACCCAAGTTTTGGGTAATTGTTGTTGTTGTTATTATTATTATTATTGTTTTTATTATTTTTTTTATTATTGTTTTTATTATTGTTTTTATTATTATTATTATT